GTGTCATAATGAAGTACAGACTTCATATATAATGTATACTCTTGTTTTATACCATGCAGTTCATTACATGTTTGTTGGAGAAATTATATCTTAGAACATTTTACAAAATTAAGGTATTGTTTAAGTTTTGTTCGTTTCCTATGTGAATAATGCTAACACATGTGTATGTGTGTATACAATGAACAATTTTCTTGATACATTTAAGGATCTGAATGATAATCTGTTAAGCAGATTTTAACAATATAATTATGTTATAGAATTTCTTAAATTTCAGTGTTCTTATATTATAATAAACTTTTTTAAAATTTGATTACATAAATGTAAACATAAGAAATTTTAATATCATTGTTATATTTAACTTATTTTTTTATCATCATATGTAAATGAAGAGCTATTAATTGTTGAATAGTATCTTAAAGAATTATAAGTCAAAAATTAAAAGATAAAATACTTGGATAAAAATTTTTTTATTAATATCTTATATACAGGATGTTCAGAAAATCACTGCACTTATATATTTATTAACAGACATGTTTCAATATAGAATACAGGAGGTAAATATGAATGACAATTATAAACAATGTTGAAAATGACCCCCGTTAGCATCAATATAAGTTTGGATCCTTCTTATTTTGTTTCTAAACACTGCTGTCAGTTGCTTGCTTGAATGAATGGATGCTGTTATTGCTGCTTTCAAGTCATCCAGCGTGTGCAAATGATCTCAATACACTACAGATTTTGCTGCTCCCCATAGATAAAAGTTGGTGGATTATGATTAGATATACAAGGTTAGTACGACGTATCTGTAATTATCGCTTTGTTTGTTGGATGGATTTGATATGTATTATATGAATGTATTATAAAAATATGATTAGAAAAGTGCACAGTGACTTTCTAAACACCCTGTATAATGTATACACATTATAAAGAAAATTTATTTAAAAATATTTTTTATTGATTTAATATAAAATTACATTCGTATATATTTCAGAATTTGATTGCGAAAATTTCAAACAGTTGAAAATAAATAAATTAT